AACCCCAGCCAAAGGGGAGGGGGGGTGCCTGCATATGGACCTCGTGGACTTTGCATACCTCAGACAGATCGATGCTTCGGTCGGTCAGTTCCAACACCGCAGGTATTCGAAGAGTCCGCTCGAAGCGACTCTTGGTGGTCCAGTGATGATGCCCACTTGATGAGCAGTTGCTTGCACTGAGGTCACTTGCTGGGCTTTATGTCCGGCTCGCTAGCTCGGTCTTGAGTGTCTGGCGGCAAAGAATGGCTGATTCCCGCTAAAGGACAGCAGGCTGACTATATGCCCGAATTGAGGACAAGGACGTGGGGCGGAATGACTTGATGGAGCGCGACATCACCATCAAAGTTCAGTCATTGATGTCGATGGGCGTCGTCGACGCACGCTAGAAGGCGAGACGTCTGACAAACACGAGGTCTAGGATCCAACTTCGGGAGAGCGAGCGAGGGTGACACCTGTTTCGCCTAAACTGATCAATTTCTCCTTTCTTGGCTCGAATTTGAGCGCCTCTACACTGCAAGACGTGCCTCGTGTCTCTCTTCCTCCTCCTACTCCTCTTCTTCCTAAACAGACCCTATGGATGGACCAGTGAGAAAGGGCTGATGTCCTGTAGTCGCGCATCGCATGTCCTGATGCTACGCAATGACAGGCCAAAGACCCAAGTCGCTCTCAACCGGAAGTCGCGGTCGTCACTCACGACTAATTGTGATCACAAGTATGATGCTGTCTGCTGCTGTGCTACAAGCTGCCCAGAACTTTTTCAAGCGAGCGTCGCTTGACCTTGACACACACTCACGTGACTCGCTACTCCTCTGCATGCGCGCGTGTGGCTTGTGCGTGCGCCTCCACCAACGCCTGCGACAAGCACGCTCGCTCGCTCGCACGGACAAGAAGCAGATTCACGATGGGTGATTCTTGATTGTTAGGAGAAAGACGTGGTAACGGGTCAGAGAAGATTGTGATTCACAAGTCATGACGAGCCTTGCTCCACGCTCCTCTCTTGCACAATCACACTCTCTCTCATTCAGGCCGGGCACGGGACGTTGGATCGCACTTGGATCGCACGCGCCCCCGCATTGAGACAAGGACCGAGCAAGCGCAAGGCTAGAGCAGAGCAGAGCAGAGCAGAGCAGAGCAGAGCAGAGCAGAGCAGAGCAGAGCAGAGCAGAGCAGAGCAAGACCCGTTCAACATAGACGCACTTGTCCTACAGTACCTGCTCTGACGTCCCTGCTGACACGCAAAGAGCAAGGCTTGGCAGAGTCGAGCATCGAGCCGTGAACGAGCGGATTGGCAAGGCGAGCTGAAGGCTTCAGCGCACGCTAGAGGTCAGGCAGGCGCTGCAAAAGCAAGAGCAAGAGCAAGAGTACAAGCAAGAGCAAAGGCAGCAAGAAATGGTCGCAGCCGCAACCCCCTTTCCCACGCTCAGGTCCGTGGTGGAGCGGTGCTGCAACTCAGACCCTTGGAGCGATCCGCTCCTCGTGCCCCTTCTCTCTGCTCCGCCGAGGGCAGACAGCCAGTCGAATAGCGTTTCGCGCGATCAGATTGGATTCTTGAGACCGCGAGTGGTCAGGGCTATACTGAAGGATGTACGTAGATCGGGCGCACCTAGAGAGGCGCTCGTCTGGTCTAGCGAGAAACATGGAAAGTTGGCAGATCTGCCTGCTTGGGTAGCTATCAATCCTGATCTGGTGCATCATGAGTCCAGGACGCCAGCGATCAATGCGCTTGTTCAGCTTTGGAGGCAGGAAAAAACCTTTCCCGATCCGCTCGACGGTCAGTACGCTGCCAGTTTGACAAGAGCCAAAAGTCGTGCTTCGTGGAAAGGGGCGAATGACTTGCTTTCTGACCCGTGCCCTGTACTCACTCCGATCTGCCACGTCTTCAGGATGGCGCGACGAGGTGCGTGCCGCCTCGGCCAAGCCTCGCAACTCAGAGCGAGCTGTGAGACTCTGGACTGATTTGTGCTTCTTTCTCTTACCTCCCTTGCTGCACAGCTCTACGATGTCTATGCTAGTACAAACTCAGCCGACGGCATCTCTTCTGTCCTCTTTGCAGATCTTTACAGGAACGGCAAGTGGCCCGTTGATCGATCCCTGGACGTGTCCGCGTCCCCCGCGTCGCAGCCTTTCTTTGCGC